CAGAGTAATATATAGGATAACAATGCTATTTTGCTTTAAAAATAAGGAAGAGGAAAACGGTATGTCTGTCCATATGTTTGCATGTGTTTATATGTGCGTGGAAATAGATGGGAAAAGCTACCTACCTAACAATATTGATTATTTCAGATAAATGGAATGGAGTTGAGATGGGGAAGTGATTATTTTATATACCGTATCTTTTTACCATGAGCAGGTATTGCCTTAGTCATTTTTTAAGTAGAAAAAAATAAAGAAAAAAGTTACAAGGTGGCCAGAGCTGAAAACATATCTTTGAAACCACTTTACTGCTACTATTAATCAGCAATTATTCCTGCAGTATTTATTGTTTGCAAGAATAAGAACAAAATATTAGGCTTACTACCTACCAGAGGGCCAATAATCTAACTGGGGACATAAGATCTAATCACATGAAGAGATTAGTGTTTTCATGCTGGGAACAGAGTTGGCTAATTGATATTTAGGTTTTGAAAGGAGTGGAATGAAAGTGGTATAGTGAGTAGAGCTTGGATGTGGCAATAATCTCTCGCTCTGCTACTCACTTGCTATGTGAACTTGGACAATTCCTTAACATCTGTAACACGGTCTCTCAGACTCTTCACCTCTGGCATTGAGAACGAAAACATCTGGATACAAAACAATTAATTAACATTGCCTCGAAGATTGGTGTGATAAGCATTTCCCCCTCTCCCACTGCAGAACTTGGGAACTGGGGGACCACTTTTCCAGGACTTAGTCTTTGAAGTTGAGTCCATAGCTCCACAGATATTAGGAGACTTCTGAGAACCAAATCAGCCCCAACGGCCAGCTCAGAATTCTTGGCTCAACCCAGGCCCTGCTATTCAATGGCCAAAATGCAAAACCAGGCAACTTTTGCTTGCAGTGCTAAGTTGCAAACCATCTGTCTCTAGTCTCTAGTGAGTGCTATTGGGCAGCACAGAACAAAAGCCATCATCCCCAAATTCCAGTTCTAAGGTTCTTTTGGTCTGGGCATACAGCCAGAGGCAATTCTACATAGCTGGCGAGCCAGTGCCATCTGATTGTCATTATCTCCTATGTGATGGTTGAGAAAAGGAAGGAAGGAAGAGCCACAATAGCCAAAGACTGTATCTTAATTCCCAAATGGGCAGGGAAGAAAGGGCAGAAGAACGCAAGGACAGGCACTCACAAGGATCAGTGTTACCGACAGCATCAGCAGAAATAACCAGCTGGCTCTCATCCAGGGAGTTCCCCATCCAGCTGCTGTGTGCGTGTCCCAGGTCTAAAGGCACACGCAGCCTGTACCTGGCCAGTCCAAGTCCCCCTCCATCCTGCAGTGGGTTATGGACTTCATTTCACGGGCCTCCCACTTTGGAAAAAAATGCTAGGGAAAAAGAAAATAATAGGGAGTCCTTCCATGTTACCTGACATATTTAATGGTAGTCACATTTTCAAAAGCGAAGACTGAATTTTGATGCTTAGGCTGTTGTGTGGGCCTGTGTCCTGCTGCTTTCCCTTCATCCTCAGCTTCTGATGGTCACAATGTTTAGATGTTGTACAAGGAAGAGAACAAAGACGCGGAATTGCGTCTTCGGAATTGACAAAACTATCTCAATGGGAGCAAGCAATGAAAAATAAGAAATATTGAACACAAGAGCTGAGGGACTGTATTTTAGGGCTGGAAGTGGGAGCCCCACATACTGTGTGGGAAGACTGGAGCAAGCTGCCAATCGAAATCTCCTTCAGATGATTCAGCAGGGGGAGGGAGAGGAGAGGGGGCGACCACTTAGCGCGCTGAGCACTAGGGGAATATCTTGCAGCTTTAGAGAACGTTGAGAGGCGGAAGTGTGAGTGGGCAGCCTGCATTTCTTCTGCACCTACCACCACACTATCTCCTTGCCTGCAAAAAGTCCATTATTTCACCGTGAAGCATTCATGCTCCGAATTAGGCTAGCGAAAATGCATCTGGTTCCATCTAGCTAGGATCTGTTCTGTAGGCAAATGCCCTGGCATGGAAAAGGTTTTTAAAGAATGGAAACTTGACTATCTAATCAGGCTCTTGATGTTCTCTTAAGCTAGTTTGTACTTTACCTTTAAATAGTACCCAGGGGAGGAAATAGCTCATGGTGGAAAGAACACTCCCCTGGGCACCTAGAGACCAGCTCCCTAGTTTCCAGTTTGCGGCACAGAAACTTTTGGCCAGAGGGCAGGTCTCCGAACTTATTTAGCCCTCAGATTCCCCACTGAGATAAAATAAATTAGACTAAGTCACTTCTAAATTCCCTTTCCACTCCAGGATTCTGTGTTTTGCCAAAAATCACTGGATGAGGACTAATGCTTTAACAGGCTGGCTCCACTGACTCAGCACGGATTCCTCAAACTATCTGCTATTAAAGTCCTACTGGTTTAAGAGAATCCAGGTGGTTGGTAAAAGTGCTTTGCATTCTTGGAAACACACAGTGCACTGGGAGAATTGTACTCATTTTATAAACATGTGGTGACTCTGCTTTTCCTTAAGTTATACACCATGAAGCCTCCCAGTGGGGTAGCTCAGGGCAGTGATGGCTTTAGAATGACAAAGCCCTCTTCTCTGTGAACTGTGGCAGGCACTTAATTTCTCTTAGTCTCAGTTTCCTCCTCTGTGACTTGGTGACAATGAAGGCCACCTTGAAGGGTTTGGGGGAGGAGGAGGAACCCGGGCTCTCCGCTGAGCAGTGGAGAAGGCTCCCCTAGCAGGAAGATGTGAAGCTTTGGCCTCAGGCAGACCAAGTTTAAGGGCTGGTTTTGTGGTTTCTTACATATGTTGCTGTTTGAACTTCATTTCTCTACACCTTGGCTTCTTCATGTGTGAGATGGGAATGATAACCTTTACGGCACACAATTACTCTTTGTAAAGAGTTGAGCGGAGTTCACGGCACTTGGTAAGGATCCAGTTAATAAGAATAATTACTGTGCATTATCCACAAATTCAAAATTCACCTGATCTGGGCACATCAGCTGGAGTTTACTTTTATATGACAAAGGGAAGTGGTCTTGCTAGAAAAGAGCTCAAATGGCAATGCAAGAATATAACTCTAGGGGCTTCCCTGGTGGCTCAGTGGTTAAGAATCCGCCTGCCAATGCAGGGGACACGGGTTCGAGCCCTAGTCCGGGAAGATCCCACATACCACGGAGCAACTAAGCCTGCACGCCACAACTACTGAGCCCACGAGCCACAACTACTGAAGTCTGCGTGCCTAGAGCCTGTGCTCCACAACAAGAGAAGCCACTGCAATGAGAAGCTTGAGCACCACAATGAAGAGTAGCCCCCGCTCGCTGCAACTAGAGAAAGCCCGCGCACAGCAGTGAAGACCTAATGCAGCCAAAAATAAATAAATAAAATAAATTTTTTAAAAAAGAATATAATTCTAATCTACCTAAAAGATGAGCTGTGTTTACATAGAGATAGCGAGTTCCCTATGTTGAATTTATGTATAAATACCAACTGAGATAAAAATAAAAGTCAACATTGTTTTGATTTGCATATTATTCTACTTATGATAAGAACTTCTACCTAATCTTTTATTTGTGAAGTTATTTCAGTACTTGAAATAAAGATAAAATTGTGTTTTCTTGACAGAGTTGGGGGTTGGAGGAAATACAAGTGCACTTTCCTTGAAGCATTAGTTAGGTTCTTTGGTTACAGGCAACAAACGCTAACTCTGGTTCAATTTATTAGAAGGATACTGGTGAGCACGATGTACCAAGTTGATGGAAGTCTGAAGAAGCAGGTTTAGAGATGGGACAGAAGTCAGGAGGGCATCCTGGCAGGGGCAGTTTCTTCCCTCTTTGCATCAGAATCGAAGAGAGAGGACTTCCCTGGTGGTCCAGTGCTTAAGACTTTGTGCTTCCACTGCAGGGGGCATGGGTTCAAACCCTGGTCAGGGAAGTTCTGCATGCCGCAAAGTGAGGCTAACAGAAAAATCAAAGAGAGGAAGTCCAGCTGACCAGGCTTAGATCTTAGAAGGCCTTCCCTTCAAATCCTTCCCAGAGGAAGAATGTGGCCAAATGATATTTCTGGAACCTCTTTGCTTCCATTAAAGAAGAGCTTATCTGCATTTTCTGACCTACCAAGACGACCCACTATGGGTGGGAAGTAAATCCCCCAAAGGAAACAGAGATGCTGATAGGAAGAGGGGATGGATGCTGGGTAATCCATCATCAAAGGTCCATCACAGAGTCGACAGAGCTGTTTCCACACCTGACCCTGCTCCTTGTGAAGAGAACTTCTTCCCTCCCCCAAATCTCTTATAAGAATGGAGATAATAGTAAACCCGACACAACAGGGTTCGTTTGAAGTATACATATTGTAATGCTTAACAGGTGCCCAGGACAATATCTGTCACATACTAAGCATGTCTATTAACTTTCCCTAAATCGTACTATTCTTTCTAATTTCGATTGTGCCGGTGTTAGGCTTTTCCATATTAGTTGCATGTATAAACATACTTGTGGTATGTTTCTTAGATCCATGTATATTAGTATTCTATTATCAAAGTGTGTTCTTCCAGAGAAAAGAGATCATGCCTCACTTTCAACAGTGCCATTTGCTTTTGAATAACTGGCAATGATACTAATAACAGGGAGGAATTGCCCTAGTGATTAGTTTTAAATATTGTTTTGAGGGTTTTTCTTTTTACTATCTACATAATATGTTATTTATAACACAGTCAGCGTTTATAGTTATGCTTGAGCTATAGGCTTCCATTTTCTTTTCCATGGTCATGTGAGGAGGCTTCATTATACAGAGACTTTTGTCTCTGTATACAAGACTTTTGATGATGGAATGGTTGACTTGGGCTTCCCTTCCTAAATATTTTGCTGATTCACTTGTTCCTTTTTTTTTTTTTTTGCGGTACGCGGGCCTCTCACTGCTGTGGCCTCTCCCGTTGCAGAGCACAGGCTCCGGACGCGCAGGCTCAGCGGCCATAGCTCACGGGCCTAGCCATTCCGCGGCATGTGGGATCTTCCCGGACCGGGGCACGAACCCGTGTCCCCTGCATTGGCAGGCGGACTTTCAACCACTGCGCCACCAGGGAAGCCCCACTTGTTCCATTTTTAAACATCAGGAGATTACCATTGGTGACATGTGCTAATTATCTGGTTTGATGCGTGGCTGGCATGAGACTTCCATCTGCAGCAATCAGGAAGACGAGATCAGTGTGAGGCTAATGCTGCCCAGTCCATGGCCTATTTGTAGTGATGAGTACCCTTGTCTTTTTTCTGTTTGCCCCATAGATATCACGTGTTGGAAACATAGCTGCCAGAAGTTTAGCATAAACCTGGTGAGACTGAATATAACTTCCGTCCAGTGGAAGGTGCATTGTCTTCCTATTAACAGCATAGCAGCTCTCGAATTGCATTGGCCCAACCGATTGCACATTTAAAACCTTCTACATCTCTTTTAAGGTCTCCTGCCAACCGTAATTCCGATGTAGAAGCAGTCTTGAAAGAGAGCTGAAAACTGACCTTTTTTGCTTCCTGGTACCAGGTTTGGAGAAGTCCCCTCAAATGGCCCTTGATTGCTTTTCTCACCACCATCATGTGTCTGCCACAGCTTCATTAAGACATGTTAGTTAAGCTTCCTGGCTTAATTCTGAGCACATTAAATCATACTCAGTAAACTCACTAAACATTTTGCTTGTTTGTATTTGTGGTGCTCAGCCAGGATTAGAGAGGCAGTGAGCTCAGAACCCGGTAGGAGCCACACTTGCTAATTCTTCATTCACACTTTAGATCAAATTAGCGTACATTTTCATCATGTCGTGTTCTACCAAAGCGAACAGAGGAGAAGGCTTTCTGTCCCCTGGTTCTTCTCGTCTGCTACTGCAGCAGATGACTCAGCACAGGAATCCTCCAGACAAGACTATAGAGGGATTTGTACGTCTGCTCATGGCGCATGGGAAAGCCACAACCTTTGAGGGCTTAACATAAGAAGTAGGTGCTAAAAAGCTAAGTCAATGAATAGAGAGGATCACGCAATTGGTTATAGTTGGCCCTGTTGGGGAGAACAGAAGAGACTCTGGGCTCTGGGCCTTGTTGCTGTCTTAGCCCCTTGTTCCTCTCTTAGCTCGCTCCCATTGGGGAGCCCTTTGGGGAGCATTGCTTATTTATAAGCTGGCCATTGCTTATTCTGGTGCCTCTGCCAGGTTCCTCCTACCTCAGTACATTGACACCTGCTGCTCCCTCCGCCTGAAAATCTCCCTAACCCCCTTCGCCCACTAAACCCTCCTCTCAGGATTTATCCGACCAGACACTTTGCGGGGAAGACTAAATCAGGACTCCATTAAATCTTCTCACACCACCTTCAAGGTACTCATTATGATTGTAATTGAATAATTAATCGCAGAAATTGCTGTTTAATGAATGTATTTTCTGCTAAAATGGAAGCCCCCTGAGGGTCTTATTTATGTTTGCATTTCAACTCTTTTTATACATAGTAGGAGCACGGTACATATTTTTTTAAATGAATGAGTGAATTCTGAATTGAGAGCTCAACATTCTTAAATGTGACAACCCTTATTTAGGTTTTGTGACTAAACCATAGCCAAGTTTTTTCTGGAGCACAATTTCAACAGGTCAGAGGAGGGAGAGAGAAAAAGGTATGTAGAGGATGGGCTGAATTGGGTCAACTTTCTCTTCATTATGTTTCACCCAGGAGTAGTTTTATGCCAAGGTAATTAAATGCCAAAACAAGCTTGCAGAAAGTTTTCTCTTTCCACAAACTTCTCTAACTGTAGAAAGGGTACGAATTCTTTTCAAACCCCACTTCCATTTTACCATTTACCTCACATACTGACCCAGTCTCTAAGACTCTCACCATTTTTATTGTGATACCTGAGTTTAGAACAGAATCCTAGGTACCAGGTCAGTGCCTATTGCTTTGTATGAACAGCAACAGTGCTTTTCATTACTGGGCATAATATACTTTCTGGTTATTTTCTCTATAGCCTTTTTTTAAAAAAAATTTTTTAATTGATTTTTCTCCATGGTCTTATACTGGAAATAAGCAATGATTGTGACTTTCCTTTGACAGATGGAGGAAATGAGCACAGGCAAACCTGGAGCCCTTGACCACTGTCACACAGGCAAGACTGGTCACATCTAGAGGAGCAGTGGAAGGAAACCTCCAGAACTCCGGGGCTCAGGGCAGTTTCCACAAGGCCTACAGCTAATCACAGATCCAGGGTTTCCTCCCATTGACTAAAATTATAATAAATACAAGTTACAGCCTGACTACCTTCTGAGAAAATCTTATAATGGTTAGTATGGGAAAGAGGAGAAAGTCCAGATGTTTGCTTTTTCTTTTTTTCTCCTGCTTAGTATGAGTTGAATGCTAACTTGAGAGCAGCTTTAACGGTGGACTGGAAAGTGCTTTCTCTTAAGGAAACAGTCATGTATCAGAAAATTGGTAGGATACAGACAACACAGGATAGTTACAGGAGGACATGGATGGGGAAGGGGAAAAGGGACAGCAAAGTGTGGTCATTATTTATTCCACTGACCTGAAACCTAGCACGAGGGAGGGAAGACTCAAAAAGCAAAAGCCACACGGACTCATTGTTTTAACAGCACATCAGTTTCTTATTCATCAAACTTCCAACAAATAGTTACTGAAAACTGGCAATATACTAAGCTCTGTGGATACAGCAAAGAAAAAAAAGAAGCCCCTCGTCCTTTAGACTTTTCATTTCAGGGCAGGGGGTTCATAAGGGATGGAGGGAGAGATAATATACAAGTAAATAAACAAACAGGATGATTTCAAACACAAATAAATCTTCCAATAATGATAAATCAGAGTAATGTGATAGAGAGTGGCTGGAGGTGGGGTGTTATTTTAAGTCTGTGTGGTCCAATACAGTAGCCACCGGTCGCAATGTAGTTCGTCCAAATTGAGATGTCCTGAAGAAACGTGCCAGATTTCAAAGACTTAGTATGAGAAAAATAATATAAAAGATCTCATTTTTTTATTATTATTATTATTATTTTTTGCTGTACGTGGGCCTCTCACTGTTGTGGCCTCTCCCGTTGCAGAGCACAGTCTCCGGACGTGCAGGCCCAGCGGCCATGGCTCACGGGCCCTGCCGCTCCGCGGCACATAGGGATCTTCCCGGACCGGGGCACGAACCCGCGTCCCCTGCATCGGCAGGCGGACTCTCAACCACTGCGCCACCAGGGAAGCCCCTATCTTATTAACTTTTTATACAAATTGTATGTTGAAATGATGATATGTTAGAGCTGCTGGATTAAATAAAAACATTATTAAAATTAATTTTACCTCTTTTTAATTTGTTTAATGTAGCTACTAGGAATTGTACAGTTACACGTCTGACCCCCATTTATCTCACCTGATGTGTCTACTGGGCAGCCCCGTGTCAACAGCGTGGGCAGGGAAGGCTGTCTGAGGAGGTGATAATACACGTAGCAGTTGACAGGTCATGTGAAGGTCTGGTGGGGCAAAGGGAATGCAGAGAACCTGAGGTGGAAACCAGTTTGGTGAGTTAGAAAAGAAAGGCAGAAAGCCAGTGTGCCTGGAGAGAAGAGTGAGTGGGAGATGCTAGGCCTGCCTCATACAGGACCTTGTAGACTAGAGGAAGAAGTTAGGATTTTATAGAAATACAAATTTTCTATAAAATGTGGGAGCAGATTTGCTTCTGTGCAGTTTTCCAGGCCCTGCTCCAAAATATCAACATTCATTATGAAACCCTGGCTTAAAAAATGCAAAGAATCCCACTCAGCTCAGAATCTCTCTGTTCTAATGGGATATGCATTTATTAAGCTTGTTTACTTTCATATAGTAGCTGCCGTGTTTATATATAGGTTTTTTATGAGGAGGAGGAACACAGGTGGACAGAGAATGAACTCATATAAATCAGATGAATATTTGATTTCAGTTTCACCTTCTTCTACTTTACTCAAGTTAGAACTCCGATTGAATGTGTAATAGGGAAGGCAGGCAAACTCAAGTTTCACCAGAAAGTACAAAGTGCAGGTTGGGAGATAAACACTGAAGTTTTTTTTTCCTTCATTATACATGAGTGTGTCCACTACGTATATTTTTTCTGCTGGGCTACTCCCAGGAAGAGGAAAAGAAACTATGTTCTCCCCTCCGCCAGTCCTGCTCCTGGGGGAGTGGTTATTAAAAAAAAAGTAGTGAATCATTTAATGACCAAATATTTCTGAGGGATTTTGGAGTTTATATAATGAACGCATTGCCATAAAAGCAAACATTTGACTTTCACAAGTGAAGTGGAAACATTTTTGTTCCCAGTTATCAAAGGGAAACTGACATCCATAGTTATCAGGTAACTCTCACACACACAATAAAAGCTACAGAAGAACATGTCCTAACTAGGGCTAATTGGTCATTAAATTAAAAAGGAATGAACCCAAGTGTTCAGATTATCCAGGGACACTGTCAAGATTGGTGCTTAGTCAAAACGCATTAAACCCTGCCAGTGGCTGACGACAATAAAAATATCTAAATCCTGGGTTGGCGTGATCCACTCTTACTGTGGTTCCCGAGCAAGCTATGCGTACAAGGCACAAGGACAAGTGAACAATAAAAGTACATATTTAATATTAGTTGCAAGAGATCCTCATATCCCACTAATGGCCTCTCTGTCCGGCTGAACTGGAGCCCATGTTGTAGGCTCAAGCCCTCCATGAACCCAGCTCCACTTCTAATTCCCAGTCTAATTTCCACAGGCTGACTGCGGAGTCCAAGGGGATGAGTTCTCCTGAGTGCTGAAAGTTCATGCTACAATAAGAGAGGAAGCAAAATGACTGAGCCTGCACTTTTGACGCAGTGATCCTGCCAGGCAACTGGCATGGCTGCATCCGTGTCCTTGAGTTCCACAAACAGATATGTAACTCCTCCTTCCTGGGACCTGAGGGTTCTTGAGCTAGCAGTGACGTTGATAGGGGGAAAACTAAAATGGAAATCAAAAATGGGTGATCATATGGGCTTCCCTGGTGGCGCGGTGGTTGAGAGTCCGCCTGCCGATGCAGGGAACACAGGTTCGTGCCCCGGTCCGGGAAGATCACACATGCCGCGGAGCGGCTGGGCCCGTGAGCCATGTCCGCTGAGCCTGCGCGTCCGGCAGCCTGTGCTCCGCAACGGGAGAGGCCACAACAGTGAGGCCTGTGTACCGCAAAAAAAAAAAAAGGTGATCATAATCTATAACTGACAGTTTTAAGAACTTTAAGAACAAAGGGAAATGCAATTTAAAAAAGAACGTATCTATATGTATAACTGAATCACTTTGCTGTATAGAAGAATTTAATACAACATTCTAAAACAACTGTACTTCAAGTTTTTAAAAATGCTGTTTTGAAAATGTGGGTGCATACTCTATCACCGTTACTAAGCACGAACCCTGCAAAGTAAGTTTTATGAAATCTATTTAAAATGAAATCAAATTGAGGTTTACGGTAATTAAACCATTTGGCCAGGGCCAAATGGTAACCTAGTGGAGGGGCAGCTATTTGAGCCCAGATACATGTTCCTTCCTTTCTGCCACACTGCACACGTACATATTCCTGTGAACTGAAGTAATAGCAGAAGCCTTTCACCAACATTAGTGTTGTGAAAGCACTAATGGAATTTCCCAAGTAGGAAATTGTTCAGTACATTATGTGTTATCCATTATTGCTATTGATATAAATTGCATTAATTATACTTATGAAGACAGAAATAATTAATAGTAGACAATGTAGCAAGGAGTAAGTATTTGTAATTCTTCCAGGCCTATGGCAAGGGAAAAAACTGTATTTGGCTTTTGGTTTCATTCCCCGACATGCCAACCCTGAACTTCCTCTGTAGACATCTTCACCTCACGCTCAATATGAATGTATAAAATCTGGCTTATTAGCTTTTTTCTTAAACCAGCTCATCTTTTTTTTTTTTTGCGGTATGTGGGCCACTCGCTGTTGTGGCCTCTCCCGTTGCGGAGCACAGGCTCCGGACGTGCAGGCTCAGCGGCCATGGCTCACGGGCCCAGCCGCTCCACGGCATGTGGGATCCTCCTGGACCGGGGCACGAACCCGTGTCCCCTGCATCGGCAGGCGGACTCCAACCACTGTGCCACCAGGGAAGCCCCAGCTCATCTTTTAAGATGTCTGAAGGGAAGGCAGTTCCAAGTTTGTTTAAATCAGTGGCTTTTAACATCATCAAGGAATCAGGTTACTTGAATATTTGCTTTGTCCCTGGACTAGATCCTCTTATCACAGCAAAATGGTGGCCTGGCAGTTCCAAGTGCCACATGGAGACAACTTTCAGCAAAAGAGACTGTCTTTCCCTGTGTTTCCCTTTTTGGAAAAAAGAAGACATTTCCTAGGGGCCCCTAGAGGATTTTCTTCACATGTCATTGGCTAGAAATGGACTCCATAGTCTTATCCTAGAACAGATTCATCCTCTGGGCAGGGAATAGGGCCTCATCTTCTGAAGACCATGGCTAGGAAGAGGAGAGAAGATAATGGAACAAAACCAGGATTCAGTTAGGAAGGAAGAAGCAGGGACAGAACAGGTGGTGGATCAGCAACCAGTGGTATGTGCCACATCTTATGCCCGAGCTGGGCCCTCAAGTCTCTCCATGGTAATAGGTTCCATAGACACTTTCCAGCTCAGTCTTCATAAAGTACAGCATTGGTGGTTTTCTGTTGTTGCAGAACTCAATGCCAACACCTCAATATGACCTCCAAGGCACTCTACAATTCACTCCAAACTCCCTTACTCTTAGGCCATATTCCCATGCAAGACTCTGTCTGTTCAGGGCACCTCCTCTTACCTCCCCTGCACCACTTCTCCTGTATCACCTCTATCCTGTCCCCAAAATGATACTTCTAAAAACAGAGATCTGAACTACACTGTCTTACTTACAACAGTGTCTTAATGACGCTTAAATTCCATTGCACGGCATACATAACCTTTCACAAATTAGATTCTACATGTCTTTCCAGGTACTTTCTCTATTAATCACTATGTCCATCCTCACCCCCTCCCCTGACACTCTAACCACATAGAAGGTTCTCACCCTTCCCAAACACATTATGTTCTTTTATGCCTTCATGGTTTATCATAGGTTGTGCTCATTGTCTGGAATATATTTCTCATCTTTTTCCATCTGGTAAAGCCCAGATCAAAGTTCATTTCCTTTATAAATGCTTTCTCAATTCCCCAGGTAGAAATAATTTCTTCCTCCCTGGTTGCTTCTAAAGAGTTCTATTACATTAGTTAAAACACTGCGTGGTAAAAATTTGCACCCATGTCTTCCACTGAGGTGTTTTTCTATAACAGATTATTATTATTATCATCATCATCATCAATATCATTATTATATTATTCTTTGTGCCCTCAGCCCCTAGTACAGAGAATATTCTCAATAAAAGTTGGAGGGTGGTCTATCTAGAACACCCACTCTGTCTGAATTCTGCTCACTCTTCAGGACCCATCTCTTCTAGGGCTTTGTTGTTATTCCCTACTGATGAGAAGTTTCCTTCATTCAAATCCCCGTAACTTTGATTTGTGCAATTAAGTCATTCATATCCTGTCTTGTCTTACGGTTGCCCTCCCCGCCCCTCTCTGCCCAACTAGCCTGTGAGCTCCTTTGGTAAAGCCTGTGTTTCAATATTCTGTGGCTCTGTTCCAATTCACAGTGTGGCACCAACTCCCAGTGTGCTTTGCTAGTACGTATATATATATAATCAGTTGTTTCTCTTTCATTTCAGCTTTAGGGTCATATTATTTGTGGATTCTTAGCTTTAGAGAGTAGGAAGTTAGAAAAAAATAGTTAAACAAATGTGTTTGAGAAGCCAAATATTTCTCAAATATCCTAGGTGAAGGGGGATCTTGTATGTATTCTGTGGTTAGCTCTAGAAGTTCTATAAGAATTTTTGAAAATATTTTTTAGATAATAATTTTTGAAAATATACAAACAGCCTTGGTGTTTATGATTTTTTTTTTTTTAACCACGTCTTATCACAAGATTCCTTGCTCTCAATGGCACTGTGTTTGCGATCTTGTTGAGGTCAACAGATCTATTCCAATTTTCAGAGCCTTCTCTCAAGTTAAAGGTAGACGGGGCTACCAACAGATGTTTATTTCAGAGGGCGTTGAAAGAATTGATCTCCTTTAAAAACTACCATTAGATGTAACCACAGTTGCATTTTATTAATATGTGGCAAGTTTGTAGTCACCAGTGATTATGTCTGTCTTACATCAAACAACCAACTGACTTGGTTGATTCAGTGAAAAAAAAATCAACCAACTAATCAAGCTTGAGAAACACTCAAACTTCCCAGAAACCAATGTTTCCTAAGATTCTATTGTTCACATACCAACTGCCCATGTACCTTATATGTGTACTGCCTACATTGCAGTAAAATTAATAATTCTTGGAATAAAGCAATCATAAATTTAATACCAACATCATTTGTCATAAACAAGAGGTAATTATCTTTAAAAAGCAATAAAACATAACAATGTGATTGTAACTCTACCTGGAATGTAGGAAAGCCTCAGTGCCCGAGGCAGGCTTTCTTTTTTAAAGATGGGCAATTAACAAAAGTAAAGAATTGAAAAAAAATGCCAGACTAAGGAGAAGGACTGAAAAGAATTTTAAGAATACATAGCCTTCCCTCTACATAATTCATTTAATACTATTCCTTGTTATTATGCCCCTCTGAAAATCACCTCCATACCATGAGTGACACCAGCTTGCATTTGGGAAATAAAACCATAACTAAAACAATTAACTGGTGGATTAAAATTAAAGTTTTTAAAGAAGTTTTCTGGTTTATGATCATGTGTTTTGCATGATTACAAAGTATTTTGCTAAAGACAATACTTTACCATTTTTGAAGGATTTATAATATTTGACTAAGTGGGTAATATTCAGGAGCTAAAATCTGAAACTCAATTTTATGAGAAAGCAAATTACACTTAAATAAGACTTTGGAAGAAAGCACAATGAAAACATGTAAGTGAATTTAGAAGATTTCCCTATATCAATTTACACCTTAAGAGCATTTCTCTTATTGGGTATTTAAAGGCTCATCAAATAGAAGGCTTACTTCTGAAAGAAGTATAAAAAATTAAGTTTTGTTTTTGATTTTTTTTGGCGGTACGCGGGCCTCTCACTGTTGTGGCCTCTCCCATTGCGGAGCACAGGCTCCGGACGCGCAGGCTCAGCGGCCATGGCTCACGGGTCCAGCCGCTCCGCGGCATGTGGGATCTTCCCGGACTGGGGCAAGAACCCGTGTCCGCTGCATCGGCAGGCGGACTCTCAACCACTGAGCCACCAGGGAAGCCCCCTATTACTTGCTTTTGGATACCTTCCATTACTCTTATCTCCCCTCGAAAAAAGTTTGCCCATTCTCTGGTAATTACCCATACTCATGGTGACCATACCTCAGAGGCACAAAATAAGATGCACTTTATCCGACTGAATTATTGATGAATGATTCCTAAATGCTACTGGTGCCAGGTGCCTAGTTGGCTATATGTGAATAACTTTGGCAGTCTGTTAAAAATAATAAAATTGAAGATCCCACCCCCAAGCCTGGAAGAAGCAACTCAGTAGGTAGAGTACATAGGATTTCATGAAGGTAATTCTGAGTTACTATTATAGAACAGTCCTTTCATTGATTTATTCATACTTATCTATATTGTTCATTTGCAGATAACTAGTGCACTAGGCATATAAGTATGAATAGACAGTCTTTGCCTTTGAAGAATTATTATTTAGTAGATGATATAGACTTAACAGAAAGAATTTTAATTAAAGTCAATGTGCAATTATGAGGGCAATGTGAATCACCTAAAGTATTGTAGACATTTGAAAGAGTCATAAATGACTTAGAGGGGACCAGGGAAGATCTTGTAAGGAGGTGGTCACTCAGTTGGGCTTTGAAGAATAGGTGAGATTTCCATGGGCAGGAGTGAAGAGCATTTGAGTAGGTTTTTCAGGCATTTTCCCAAAAGTGCTCAAAATAAAAATTATGTCATACTAGATTTATTTTCATTTTTATATATTCTGTGTTGATGAGCATAAATAAATATTACAAGTCAAATATTTAAGTTTTTGGATATTGTCAACAGCTTTAATTCATATTAGTAATCATTATCACATATTTACTAAGTACCCATTGTCTATTGAAATCTATTAACTGATATAGGACAAATTACGACAATAGCATAGAAGTTGTCTACCTTGGGGAAGCTAGGAAATTATAAGACATAGAAACATTAACTCAAAAATACTCAATATTTATTAGTAAATATATTGATAATCTTCCATATTCTTTCAACTTGATGCACTTCTCTGCTAATTAACATGTAGACTGACTCTTCTTGTAGATCACTTTTTGGATAAAGATGAACATTTTTTAAGCTTTTATTTTAGTATCATCAATCAGCAATGCTTCCTCTTGTAATAACAGGGAAACATTTTATACTCTCCTTTCCTTATCCCATTTATAGTTAAAAATCATTTTTAAACTTTCCCTTTCCTCTGAAAGGTCCCATTTCATCCTTTGCACTGCTTTTCCAATTTTATTGCAATATGTCTTTGCTATTTCTTGGTAATCTTCACTTTCTTTATTAGTTTCAAATATTTATATTAGCCCTTTATATTAGCCTCAAGCTCTTCTTTCAGTTAAAGTACAAAATTAGTTTGGAATTTTTCCAGAACTTTTTCAAAGAAAAATGCTATGATAGCACTAGTGTGATGCATTCTGTATATCATCATTAATATGATTAAAACTGTTATAAAGCACATTTTTGTGCTCAGTGGTGTACAAAGAAATGGAAATTATTGCTATTCTCTAGAGAATCTAATACTGAGGAGGATGAATCAGTAAAGGATATAATTTGTGAGCAAAAAATACACAAACAAAATAATACAGTTGTTATGGAAGACAAAGTCTAGGCATTAATGAAGAGAAAGTGTTGCAGGATACCCTTGGTTTCAGAGACCCTATACACAGAAGGGTGGCTTTATTATGGGATACACATGATCATCTTCTCTTTTCCTTTTGACTCCACTTCTACTATAGCTTCTCTTTCTCTGTATACCGCCTTGTCTTTCCTTCTCTTTCCTTGCACATTTCTCTTTTCCTTCCCCCAATCTCTTCTCCACTCAATGAAAGAACAATTCCCCAGACTTTTTTGGTCCTAAAAAGAGCATTTACTCTTTTCTCAAATTGGTCCTTGCCCAGGATGAGGAGGCTTCTCCACTCCTAAATGGCTACTCTGGGTACTCCTGTTCAGTCCCAGTCTCAGCTGGCTGGGGTCTCTGCCTTCCAAAAGCACCACCAGTTCCTCACTGAGAGCATTAAAGACTGACATCATGGTGCAATAGAAAGAACTGGGAGTCAGGCACCATGAGTTATAAGCCCAGCTCTGTCAACAGCTACTTGTATGGCCTTATACCAAGCTGGGTCTGAACATTCTTATCTATAAACTGTGGAGGTTTGTGGCAGGCTAAATAATGCCCCCTCCCCCCTGAAAATATGTCTACATCTTAGTCCCTGAAACCTATGAGTGTTACCTTACATGGCAAAAGGGACTTTGCAGATGTGATGGTTAAAGAACTTGAGATGGGGAGATTATCTTGCATTATACAAGTGGACCTGACATAATCACAACTGTCCTTATCAAAGGGACCCAGAAGGAGTCAGTCAGAGGAGAAGCCAAGGTGACGATGGAAACATGGATTGGAGTGATGCGATTTGAAGATGAAGGAAGTGGTCAGAAGCCAATGAATACACGTGTCCAATAGAAGCTGGAAAAGAAGCGGAAATGACATCTCCCCTCATGTTCTCCAGAGTGAACCGACTCTACGGCCACCTAGACTTTAGCCCAGTGAAACTGATTTTGGACTTCTGGCCTACAGAGCTGTAAGAGAGTAAATTTGTGTTGTTTGAAGCCACTGAGTTTGTGGTAATTTGTTACAGCAGCCATAAGAAACGAATACAAGGTTGCACTAGGTGACTTCTATGGCTGCTTCTAACTTTAATTGTTACTTCATAGCTATGACCCATTGCTAAGTGACCCAGACGTTGCAATACTTGGGTGCCTTAACAGATCTTGTTTTCTGTTTGTGTTTGTTTGTTTTTTTTAATAAAAACATTGTTTGACGAGACAGTTTACAGGTATTGCTTGTTCAAAACAGCAAGTGCCTTTGAAGAAAGGCAATTGAAGAAGAGTCTCTGCAGTTTCATGTGAGATTTTGTTCCAAAAAGAATTGGTAGTCAGAGAAGAGCATTCATCTTCCCCCAGGACCTAGCCCCAAACTACCATTCGAAATTCTTCTCCCACTACATCCTACTCTCCAGGCCCATCAGTCTTCTGATCACTTCCCGTACAGGCTCTTCTGTGTCCCCATTTCTTTGTTGGTACTCAGCATGAAATGCTGTCTCCCCAAATCGGCCCAAAACTCCAACCAAAGGCAAAGCCGTCTCGAAATCTGACTTGACCACCCAGGTCACATTTAATATTTTCTTCCCCTATTTGCTCCATGTGTATCATTTGTCCTACTTCTGTTCAGACTCTTGAATCCATCTTCTACTTAGTGCTTACACCTCAGTCTCCTCCATTAGACAGAAGGAACATTGAAGGCAATGTCTATGGCTTATTCATTTCCGTGTTTCCTGAGTGTCTACACTGTGTTTTCAGTGTCTACACAAAGTAGATGGTGCATGTTTCTTGTATTAAAGTTACAGAGGACTAGAGCTGAAGAACCAATTATTGTTGCTTTTCATAAATATACATCTTAGTGCAAAATTCTTCCATAGGAAACGTTGTGAAGGAACATTTATTTATAAGTGCTCCCTATCTTTTCCCCTTATTTTCCACTGTGTTTTACTTTAGTGTAAACTTCCTAGGATTACCCCTCCTCTGACATACCAGGAACAAGTAGGAAAAAATTAAACAAATCTTACTTGCATTTTTTTTCCAATAAAAAGATGAAAAGTTAACTCAGGAGCCAGGGAAAGAGTAAAGAGTTTTGTTCAAGCACAATACATTGCAATTACAAGAAGAACATAATCCCCTCTGATTTACCTTTACCCTATCATTCCTTCTCTCCCTTGAAATTCAGGATTAGGTGCATTTTAAGAACTTAAAAACTATTTTAAAGTGTCAGGAGTAACCACTGATAATACCTCTTTACCCCCTTGTTCCAAACTAAATCCTATTTAAGTAAAGCTTGTCAGTAGAGCCTGAACAGTAAGCAATTTATTCCACCTGCTTTATATTAACCATATCCCAGTATGGATTTGATGATGGAGAACCAAGAGATAAGATTAGTTGACTCCAGAAATACCTTCTGGTGGTAGAATGCTTGTCACTTTACTCATTTCCTTAATCATAGTTGGTGATGATGCCAAACCCTTCATTTGGATAACTAAGGGAGCTTAACTATTAAATCCTCAGTACACCAAAAAAGGAGACAAGTAGGTAGTACCAAAGTGCCTATTACTGTTATTTTTCAGACGGGTAAATAGATCCAAAGGTCAAATTCTCACAGTATGTCTGTGAACAAAACCACAAAGAGGATGAGGCTAATGGATGCCCAGTCTTGTTTTATTACCACTTGCCCGATCGACATAGTCAGCTAAAAACCCCTGACTTGTTTGAACAAAGGTATATGAATTTGCACGTGTTGGATTTAAGTGGCAGTGATGCTGGAGGAGATCCTACGGAGCAGCTGTTTAGATTTAGCAGCATCAGAGATCATTTTATCTTTATAAACAGTGAATGGATACTGGTTCTTTAAAGAAAAGAAATCTGCTAATTCCTCTGATGGTAAAAGAACATCTATGGAATGCTACTATCTCCAAGTAAACAAACAAACCTCTCAGACTAAACCCAGGTCACCCACACATACTAACATCTTCTTTCATTATTGGCCTTCAGGGACACGATGGATGTTCTAAGTGTTTTCCGGCCCATTCTCCTCTTTAGGACACAAGTCAGGACAGTACAGCCTCAAGACTAAGCTTTGGGATGAATGTTTATACTGCTGCTCCAGTTCCCATTAAAAGAATTACAATGATACTGCAATCTGAATACTTCTGGAAAAGGCCTAAGGGGAGAGGCCTTTATTCAAAAAAGAACTAGTAGCTAAAGCAGGACAGAATAAAGAGTGCCTAGTTCAGAAAATCTGGCCAAGTCAGTGCATTCCATATAAAATAAATTCCATCTGTTGACTGGCAAGAAAAAAAAAGAAATGTAGGAACTAGTTGTATATGTAAATTTTCAATAAAGTTATATAGATTCTGATTTAGTTAATTATTCTATTGTTCTTGTACCTTAAAAGTAAATTTAAAGCAAGTGTTTGATCTGTGTATTTTGAGGACGGAAAGGCCCAGATCTGGGATAGGAAGCTGCCAGGCTAGAAATGGTTCTTGGCAGAATTCCATCTGGCCATTGACTGATTTTCTAAAATTAAGTGTTCCTTGCTTCTATCCCTAATTATTTGGATGAATCAAATTTGAGAGAAAATAAGCATGTCATCTCAGACTTCATAATACTGGGTGTAGTCAGACATGTAATTTACAACAGGAAGTACATCTCTGAAACTTGCATAAAAAGCACAAACAAAGTCAGGCCAATGTAAGTTCAAATTTTGATTAGGTCATTTGGCCTATGTGCCCCAGGGCAAGGAACTTAAAACTCTCTGAGAGTCTCAGTCTTCTCATCCATAAAATGGGAATAATAGTGCTTCTTTGCAGTGCTAAATAAGACAAAATATGTCCTCAAGTCCACACACAACCTATAGATACTCCAGAAGTGGTAGCTATTATCAGGAGTCCTGGGGGAAAGCAGCATTATTTATATAATGGATAGATAAAATATCCTTTAGAATATTTTAAACTCCTCGAGCTTGAGTTCTAATATACTGTCTTGTGTAAACTGTCAGACCTCATATCTAGCAGGCACTAAATAAATACTTGTTAATTTGTTTAATTATATATTTTCTTCAAAACAAAGAAGTTATGCCAGCTTTTCCCCAGAGCTTCCATTTCCCCTGCTTTATTTATTAATTTCAGTGACATCTTTGGAAGCAGTTTGCCACTAAATGGCAAAGAGCAAAACAGCAAGAAAAACCATTCTGACCATAGAACAACAAATGAGCCTCAGCAGAAAATAAAAGAAGAATCTAAAGCAGGCAAGGCTGTCTTGGGAAGGTTGGTCTTGACTGTCTGTGTTGAGATGGAAGGTAAGGCGATGGAAGAGGGCACAGTGAATGCAAGGGGGAGTGGGGACAAGGCAGGGTAATTTCAAGTTCAGCTCTAAGGAAGTCATAACTGTTTAGCAACAGAGCCAGGACTAGAACCAGGGTCATCAGATCTGGACAGCAACATCTGAGATCATGAGTCACCATCCACAGTGTGCTAAACTCTCTACCATAATGCCTCCAGCTGGGAGCTTTGCCCCTCCTGATCTGTTTCCTTATCTGTTCCTTGAGAGGTTTGGACTAGATGAACTCCCAGGTCCTTTCCAGTACTACTAGTCTATGTACATATGTTTCTACATAATACAACTTGGCTCCCTAGATTATAAGAGCTTACATTTTTGATAGTGCTTTAGAGTTTACCGCAAGCTCTTGAAGTTACCATTCTACTTGACCTTCACAACTACTTTGTAAGTCATATATTTTCATCCTGCAGTTTTACAGTTGAAGGAACTAAATCTCTGAGAGATCAAGCGAGTCAGTCACAAGATTTGCTAGCAGTGGAATTTTGCGCACACTCGAGCCTCACAGTGAGCTGAGAGGTTTAGTATTAAAAGTACAAGTATGTAATATACAAGAAAAAAAGCGCAAGGAAGTCAAATAGAAAGGGTTGGGGTGTGGTGGGGAGGTTGGAGAGGAGAAAATACAGCACAGGTTGAAATAAAAGGCTAAAAGTCCAGAAGCACTTTCACAAATGGCCAAGGGCAAGTAAAGACTTTTTTTAAAAACAAAGAAGAGGTGGGTCCGCTGCTTGACAGATGGCACAAAATTAACAGACAAGGAAGGACGAACGAATTCTCTCCTATTTTCTTTCTGCCTTAGAAAGAGAGTATCTTTCAACTGGAAAGTATAGAACATAGTAAGGCTTTGAGATCAAAATAGTGGAGGAAATAATAAATGCATTTAAAACTCTGCCCTATTTATCCAGCGTCAAGTTCCCAGGCTCAGATGAACTACCTCAAGTTTCTGAAAGGATCCATATCGTGATCAAATGGCCTATTTCTATAATTTCAGCATTTATAGAAACTAAAGAAATGCTGGAAACCTAGAGATAGACAAATGTCCCAACTTTTTTAAAAGGCGGTTTCCAAGAATTACTGATGAATGTTTGACATCAATCTTTAACAAAGTTCTACAAAGGTTAGGTTGGTTAAACAGACGATACGTAGGACTTACCAAAGGAAGCGCCAACCAAAGAGAGCTCCCACTGGTTGACCAAGAATAAGTCAAGGTCAACTAGCTTCATGATGAACTTATTAGAGTATAAGTTTAGAAATGCTATAAATGTGGTATATATTCATTCCTAAAGGTACTTGGCAACTTTTTCTTTAATATCTTCATAGAATCAGCTACATGATAGTGCAGTTAGTGCATTCATAATAAATTGAATACTTCACAGAGAATTGATAGATATTGATTAATCACATTTGCACATGAGACAAAGAAGAATAAACAATATGTCAAAAGACAGATCAAGATTTAAAAAGATCTTGAAATGCTGAAATTATAGGTTTAAATGTTAATAGGGATCAGTGAAAAGGTACACTTAGGTTCTAGGAAATAACCTAGACCTCGTGGCTTTGAGAAATTTGAAAATTTCTTCGGTGGTAAGGACCTCATGACCTTCAGTCCTAAATTCTTCGATTATATGAAGCATAACTGCATGCGTCTGCATAGAAGGGCACTAGTGATGAGAGCTACAGGTCCCACCTTCTATGAGGGACTGCCGGATCGAATACTGCACTCCCAAAACAAAGGATCAAGGAGAGAGCCAGCAGTAAATTCTCACTATGTGGTTTTGACAGTGAGATGGAAGGAGAACTACTGTGATAGTAGTGGGTCTTTGTCACATGATGAATGTTTTATAACGGCCTGTGGCCTTTGTTAGAAAATATGTCGCATTCTT